AAAAGATACATAATCCAGTTGTAGAAAAAATAATGTTCTCATTTTTTCCTGACATACAAACAGTCAGATCTTTATACTACTGGATATTAACAACTATTCCAATTTCCTTCCCATCCAGAATTGGACCATATAATATATTGACCACAAGGTGTCACCATTGCTATAATTAGTCTCTTTGGTGCAAATATACCTCAGTAGAAAACTCCAATGAATGACTGGGGTGGAATTAAACTTCACTGACTGGATGGTGCTGAGGAGAGATAATAGCAAAATGTGGAAACTGTCAGCTGTAGGTAATTCTAGTTAGCTACTCATTAGAAAGTAGGAGTTGTTACTACCTGTCAGTTGCTTGGTGGTCAAAGGGATTGTCAGCTTCTACACAACGGGAATCCAACACAAAAAGGAATAGTCAGTATTCACCAACCAATACCAGTGATTGATATTAACAATCCTAGCAAGGTGGCATGATCTGAATTAACACTGATATTTGAAATAGCTAAAAATGTTCCTTGCTGGTCATAGGAGACACACACTGGTAATGAAGGGAAGTTCACACTGATGCTCCTTGTAGTGTACCATTTTTATATATAAATAGAAACTTCAGTCGCTCTCAGTGTAGAATTTTGCACAAGTGCTAACTTCAAAGGAGGGAAACCCTTGAATAAACAGTATTGCCTGTTCTGTTCAGTACTCCGAGATCTGGTTTAAATAACAACATTCTGACAAACCCTGAGTGAACAAACAACCTATATATTGATTGTGTTACCTTAGTGCAATACAACATCTATTTAAATAATACAAGCAAAAATGCACACAAAAGACTTATTCCCGGCACCAAAACAGGCTCCTTGCCAAATGTCTAGTCCCCACTCCAAAGCACGAAGGTGTTACAGCTTCTCCATGAATAGGCTGTAATTTTTAAGAGTAGCAAAACACCATTTTCTTTGCCTAATCTCATTCTCAGAAATGGCTGAAATTTGGGGCGGGGGGGTGGACTTTCAAGAATGATTCAGCCTGAGGGAACTGGAAATATGGGGATGTCAGACAATTTTCACTGTAAACAGTGCTCTGAGCTCTGCCTGTAATGGCTATCACACATATCATTAAAATGCTTTAGAGAGAACATTTTAAAACAATAATACATCATTATTATGGAATGCAAAATTCACTTCTTGAAGGAATGTCTACACTGTAGAAAGATACAGAATATAGACTGGAAATTCCTTTAATTTATCCTTTGTGTACTCAGCAACAGATCATGTACCCTGAATCCAGTCCATTGAAATCAGAATACGCAGAATTACAATATCCCAATGAATAATGATAAAATGTTTAAGTATGGTTGATAGGACCTACTGAGTCAGTTTTACTGCTGAAGAAATTAACACAGCTTCATTGACTTAAATGAGTGAACTAAACCATACTGAGTTCAAGATTCACTCAAGGTGATGACTACGTCAGATTCCCAATCCTTTGTTTTAAACTGTATTGTCCTTTTTCTTTAAGCTAAACCTATTTCCCCCAGATCACCCAGCAAGACTGGCATGACATTCTGGAAAAAAAATCACTGAATACCTAAGACCCAGATTTCCCCTTGCACAGCAATAAACTATCTTCTGGGTGATTAAAGCAGAGACACACTGTTCAGTTTTCTTTTAATAAAATAAAAAATGGTTATTTCCGTCACTAGATCTTCTATGCTAAATTTTGTAGCTCCATTTACAAAGCTGCTATAATGGTAGAAAGAATGGTATGGCCTTTAAAATTTGTTTTAAAAAAAGTAACTCATTAGAAGTCTGTGATTTACTCAATATGGGATGAAATTCACTCTTGTCAAAAAAGCATACATGATATTTATGTCCCACATTTTCTTTGTTCCTACAATCTCCATCGCTTTTTGTAGAAAACAAAGAAAAATTTTGTTTGCCATGTTAGTGTTGCAGTTCATTGCTTGCCTATCTACTTGAATATTAGCAAGTTACTAATTTATACTGATGTCTAAGCAAAGATAAAATGCATCTCATTGTTCATTCATTTAATAAGTGTAGTTTCACTTTAATGATGCACGAATTGGTGAGCTATAATGTATTAGTATTTTATTAATAGAACTCCTCATGATTTTTTTGTGCAAACAGTAGCATGGGTAGATTTTGCCAGGTTTATTTGCGTAGGACTGAAAGAATTACATTAGAAACTCATTCCTTTTTTGCAATGTGAGGTCAATGGACTAAGACAGGGGTCAGCAACCCCTGGCACATGTGCCGAGCATGGCATGCAAGGCCATTTTGCATAGCACACCACTGCCAGCCCGGGCTCTGAGCAGCTGCTACCAGCCACGGAGCCCAGGCTGCTCCCAGCAGGCGGCTAGAAGGCTGCAAGCCTTGCTGCAAGCAAACCGGGCTGCATAGGCCGGCTGCATCCAGGAGACTGCAAACAGCTGCTCTGACCTCCGGCATATTGGCACTCTGGCACCTTCCAAGGTAGACATTGTGGTTTTTTCAGCACTCTGGCCAAAAAATGTTGCCTACCCCTGGACTAAGATGAGTAGCTGGGCCAGGTTTTCAACTTGTGTAAATTATAATAGGTCCTTTAGAAGACTTACCCCTTCATGTGAATGGATTTTACAGCTGAAATTTAAAGAGCTCTAACTTCAAATGCATAGTAAGTAACAGAAGATGAGATGCACTCTGTTAGCACCTAAGTCTTGTTAATAAAAGAAATACAGAGGCAGCTCTGGTAAATAGCGCATCACCAATTCCCTTTTGTCCTCCCTTGATAAACTTATAGGTGGCTACAAGATCTCCCCTAAGCTGTCTTTTGTATAGGCTGAAGAGATCCAGATCTCTCAACCTCCTCTTGTAGGGTCTTTCACAGAGGCCACTAATCATGCTGGACACAGTACTCCAACTGCGGCCTGACCAATGCCACACAGAAGGGGAGCATCACCTCCCTTGATCTGTTGGTCATGCATCTGCTAATACACGACAAGGTGAGATTGGCTTTGTTGATGGCTTCGTTACACTGCCGGCTCATGTTCATCTTGGAGTCAACTATGACTCCAAGATCTCTCTCAGCCTCTGAGCTTCTGAGGAGGTCATCCCCCAACCTATAGGTGTGCTGGGGATTCCTCCTCCCTAGGTGGAATACTTTGTGTTTATCTTTGTTGAATTGCATCCTATTTCGTTCTGCCCATTGGTCCAACTTGTTCAGGTCAGCCTGTATCTGCTCCCTGCCCTCCAGTGTGTTAACTTTGCCCCATAATTTGGTATCATTGGTGAACTTGGAGACAGTGCTCTCCCCACCCTCATCCAAATCACTGATGAAGATTTTAAGTAACACCAGTTCAAGCACCGAACCCTGCGGGACCCCACTGCCCTCCTCCTTCCAGGCTGAGAATGACCCATCCACCACCACTGTCTGGGTGCGGTCCCTTAGTCAGTTAGCCACCCACCTGACTGTGTAGGCATCCACTCAACAGCCCATTAGCTTCCCTATGAGAATAGGATGCGAAATTGTGTTGAAGGCCTTCCTAAAATCCAGGTAGATGACATCAGCCTCAGATTCTGTGTCAAGGTAGTGTATAACCTGGTCATAAAAGGCTATAAGTTTTGTCAGGCAGGATCTACCTGTGACAAACCCATGCTGGTTTCCTTTCAGCATCATTTCCCCTGCTTGGCCTTCACAAACGCACTCTTTGATGATTTTTTCCAGTATTTTCCCAGGGATAGAGGAAAGACTCTATCCCTAAAGTTACCTGGCTCATCCCTTCTCCCCTTCTTAAAAATGGGTACCCCATTGGCCCTTTTCCAATCCTCAGGGATCTGGCTGGAGCACCATGAGTGCTCAAACAGCCATGCCAGCAGCTCAGCTATGACACTGGCCAATTCCTTCAGCACCCATGGATGGAGGAAGTCTGGGCCAGCTGACTTGTAACCATTCAACCCTTCCAAGTGCTCCTTAACTAAGTCAGCATTAACTTTTGGCATCTGGTGCCTTTGGACATCTGTCTATGCTCAAGGTGGGGGAATTGTCTTGGTCAGTACTTAGGAATACCGAAGCAAAGAACTCATTGAAGAGCTCCACCTTTTTCCCTGTGTCAACCACCAGCTGTCCTGATTTGTCCTGTAGTGGCCCTATGTTACTCTGCAGAGCCTTCCTTTTGTTTGCTATGTATCTATAGAAGGACTTTTTACAGATTATTCAGAACAGTTTAAGACTAATGTACATCCACCCAAGCAATTAATAACTGCTTGTTGGAGTTTGTCCTGCCAGAGGAATTCCCTTTCGAATTGGCCCGGACTTTGGTTACACTAGAGAACTCAGTTTAAAAAAAACTTCTACAGTACTGGCCCTACTCAGGGCACTGCATTTGTTGCAGCACTAGAGTAAACTCTGGTCCAGGCAGGATGGATTCATATTTTTAATCACTTGCCTATTGAAACCTTCCTTCTGATCATGTGTCTGCAACATGGTAGTAAATAAAAAATACCTGAACTCCAGAGCAGGTAGTGTGGTGGTTGTGGCTGTAATATGGGTACCAATTTTCTAGTTTAGATTCACTTAAGTCTGTGAAAAAGCAATAGAAATGGTTCAAGCTGTAACAACCCTGTGCCTCTCAGTCCCATTGTTCTCTGTGGTTTTAGTTCTACTTAGTCACAGCACACCTCTTGCACTGTAATCAATGAGCTTCCACAATGTTCTCCTCCCATGTTGACCCAGTTCTAAGGTATAGGAGTACTTACACTGACAGTGTTACTCCTGTAAGGTCTCTTACATCCATTAGACTGGTAAGAGGACAATAGCATTCAGGGCTTGCAGTAGGACATTTAAAGACCACACTTCAATTTAACTAGCCTCATCTAGTGAGCCAGGCCTCAGTTAAAGTCAAGAACTACAGTATTCTAGAGTCTAGACTTGTTTTTTAAACCCTTGAGAAAGAACAATGTTGGCTAAAATTCTCTAGGAAGAAGGAAGAAAGACTGGACACACTCTGATTTTTTCCCCCCTGGATTTTACTGCAAACCAATGGGTTTGGTCACAAAAAAATGGTACATATTATAACCATGTTAATTACATTACAATGATGGTATACATTACATTGCAAGTAAGCCTGCAAGTTTAAATATACATCTAGAGTTACAACTGAATGTACAGAACTTTTTACAATACATACAATCAGGAATGCAACCCCCCCACATAAATAATGCCCATTTTACAGATGATGTCATTTAAAAAACTTAAAATGAAAAAAGGAAGAGAAAAAAAAAAAATGAAACAAACCAACAGCTTTGACCGACTGCAGCTGGGGCATTTTGGTCCATAAAAACCCTTTCTAAAAATAGAAATCTTCTCTCATAGCAGCAATGCTCTCTTCAAGCATTTGGATACAAGTCACTGTGAGCCCATTTCAATAATTTTAAATCGACTGTATAGTTTACAAAAAAAATTTCAAAATCTACACTTAATTTATCTTCCAAATATGGAAGAAACGAACAATGCCCCACATTGTAGTATCCTGCAAGTGTCACATTGATGCTTTAAACTAAGTCCATCTGTAGTATTCATACCACACTCATACCATTTGTTCACATAGTAAACCCACAGAAAGGAATCGAGAAACACTTTGCAACAGGTAAAGCTTTGGAGCTAACAAGATCGCATCAGAAAAAGGCACGTTTCATAAAATCCTTAATCACATCCAGATACACCTTCAGGCAAGGCTTTTTGGAACATTATTTTCAAAACAGCACATTATTATTCCTACAATCTACCGTAGCAGTCTCTGGCAGCAGATACTTTTTCCTTCTTTCCCAAGGAGATAGCACCACTTTGGGGGAAGAACGAATAAGAGTGAAAAAGCCTGTAAGCTCATTTAGAGAGTTATGTGCTCTTCAAAAAAAGCTTCCAGCAAACAGTGTAGTTGAAAATTAAGGCTGCAAAGCTGCCATGGTGGAGATGTGCAAATTCTGTTTCAAGATGATGGGTCAACTGGCTGTTCAACCAGACGGCCAACATAATAATTAAAAACAAAAAAAGGGGAAATGAAGTTCACAGGAAAGAATCCATGGGTGGAGCATAAGAGAAGCCCAGAAAAGCTTCTGCAGCTTCCTTGACGCTGGCAGTAATAAGGATGCTGTCTGGAGACTGACCAATGGAGTTGGGGACTGGCTCATCTGTAAACTCAGGATCAAAGTGTCGCAGATCACTGGGGCCACTCTGAAGAATACCAAAGGAGAGAAACAGATGTTTAGTCTAAGCTCTCTCTATTTCATGAACACAGATGAATTTGAAACTGGGATTTAAAAAAAAAAAAAAAAAAAAAAAAAAAAAAAAAAAAAAAAAAAAACACTCCACAAAAAAACCTTTGAGAAGAGTCAGAATGTTATTATTACAGTGGACCTACTGTTGAAAACAGTCTTGGCCAAGAACTGCCTGACTTCTTCACATCTTGCCATTTCCTAGTGAGCACTGTGTACAACGTGGTGCATTTCAAAATGCTGCCCTCCAAGCAAGCCCAGGCCATAAACACAAAATGCAAATCCACCCATTTATGCCACCGTTTAATGTAGGCATATGTTAGCAGCTTGCAAGTAAACCACTTAATCACCAGAATAGCCGTAGTATGTATACTTGCATGTGTATTTTATAGAAGTCAATAAAAAAAAAATTTTTTTTGGGGGGGGGGGGGGAGAGATATTTAAGGTTTAGCTTCCCATTAGTTTGTGTGACTGCTTGGATGGGAGTCGGGGCAGGGGGGGAAGAAGAGATAAATGGCTACATTTTACTGTTCGTTTTAGATTAAAAGCCTGTTGTTGAGTTTGTGTATATCTTTGTCTCTACAACTGATACAAGAAAAAGAATTGCCATATTTTAGGAGGCTGCAAACTGCTTTTGGCACTGGACATCCAGGAAGTGGGGAGAATAACTGTCTTTAGAAATTCTATAATTAGAAGTGATGCTTACCACATTTGGGTTAAAAGGGGGTGTAATCTTTTTATTAATGAGATCATCCCAGTTAATTGGGGAGAAGAAGATGTGATTCTTAATCTCCGTCTGTTAAGGAAAAATAAAATTAGATTAATTCAGACAAGAGTAATTGAATGAGTGGTATGATGTTGTTTACTTTCTATGTTATAGGCCAGAACTACAAAATTACACTTACAAAGTCCTCCTTGGCACCAAGGCGCTTTGTCCTGTCTTTTTGCAAAAGACCTTCCAGAAGGTGCCTAGCAGAGTTGGTAATATTTGGTTTCAACTGCAGGGGTTTGTTCAAGATATTATCGTACATTTCTGCTGTGTTCCTGCTGTAGAAAGGGGGCTGCCAGAAAGAAAGAAAATGCATATTTAAGTATAAAGTTAGTGAATCTTAGTTCAGTACATGTATCTTCCCATAACACCATAAAATATTCTAGCCTTTATGCCATGTGCTGCTCTCAATCTACAAACTTCTCAGTGGGCAGGAGGGCAACACAGGACCCACTGGGCCTTTATCTTTATCATAAGGGAAGTCACAAGTATAGGTAGTAAAGCTAGAATGGTTCCTTACGTTGATTACTTTGATATGAAATCTAGTCAGCTATTTGAATTAACCAATAAATATCTGTTACTTACCAGTCCATAAAGCATCTCGTACAAAACTGCTCCAAGGCACCACCAGTCAACAGTCCTGTCATAGGGCTGCTTATGAAGAACTTCAGGAGCAAGGTACTATTTAATAGAAGGGGAAAAGAAAAAAAGAGCCCAATTAGCCCGACAAACTTT